GACTGGGGGCATTGCATAGGCCCAGGGGAGAGAGAAGAGCACAGATATCTGATGAGGAGCAGGAATGGAGGTGTGGCTTGGGGGAGGCCTGCATTCATTCAGATCTTTGTGTTGGACGAAGATCTAAGCACAAGATACAGGAGACACAGCTGCCGCTCTCCATGAATTCGCAAGACTGGGCCTGTGAGCTGATCCAGAAGGAGATCGGAGTGTGCAGGGCCCAAAACAGGGTGATGAGGAGGCGTGTCCCCTGAGGAGGGGTCAGCTGTGCTGAGAGTGGGTTGAGAAGATCTGGGGGGACCAGAGGGATCTGACTTGGACAGTGAGTTTTGCGTGTGTGAGAAAGGCAGGGCTGGATCATGCCGGACTACATAGGGGCTGAGCTTTACCGTAAACACAGGGCCACCCCCATGGGAGAGTGAGTAATCAGATCAGTGCTCTAAGAAGAGGACTCAGGAATGAACCGAGGTGAAGCAAGAGTAGAGGCCCAGGTGCGCTATGCCGGTGACTTGAGACATTGTTGATGGGACCAACTGTGGCAGGTGGAGATGCTGGTGGCATTGCAGGTGCAGGAGCAAGCAAAGACATAAGCAGGTTGTTCAGGGGATGCAGGGGTTTAGGAAACGGTTGAGAGCTGAGGGCCAGTGGGTGGAGGAGGGGAGTTAGAGAGTAGGTCCCGGTTGCAGGAGCACTAATGCCAGAGAGGGAGGCTGCAGCATGGCTGCCATGGGCTGAGGGGGAGGGATCCGCCATGAGGTGGGTGTGGAAGCAGGGAATACTCTTGGGGGGTGACACAGTCCCAGAGATAATCCTCTGTCTGTGCCTCTCTGAGGGAGGCAATGTGCCACTCTGTACCTGAATCCTGACTTGGCTGGGTCAATAGAAGAAGCTACTTACACTTCCTTACCCTCAGTTTTCTCATCTGCCGAATAGGGTTAATCATAGTGACCGTATGGGTTTGTAGGAGGATCAAGTGAAAGGGGGCAAGTAAGTGTCGCCACAGTGCCTGGTGCATCATCACTTGATAAATTGGTGCCCGATGCACAGTGGAGAGCAGGACAGAGGGTCCTTTCCCTGCCTCAGGCCCTTCTTCTCTGACTGCTGCTTTTGTTGCTGGTGGTGATGGCAGAATCTAATCCCTGGCATTTCAGGGAGGGCCTGCTTAGCTCCTCGAGGCCACCTGGCTCTGGTTCCTGGGTCCCTCCTTCCCTGGTGGCCATGCAGCCATGGGTCCTCTGGGCTGCGTCTGGCAGGAAAGCCAGACCGCAGGAGGCGTGGAGGCTAATGCTTCTCCTCCCAGTGCAGACCGGCCGCTACACGCATGGGTGGCTGGGGTAATTAATTTACACATTTTATCCTGCTTAAACTAATAAGCTTCTCTAGCTTCCTCCACTGAGCCTGAGCCTTCGAGCTGGGCCTGCCAGAAACATTATCCTGCCCTCTGGGAAGTCTGATGGGGCTTATAGTTGTCCTGTGGGCTTGGGCCAAGGCTCCCAGGCCCTGTGTCCACACTTCTGAGGCTACTTATTTTGGCTGCTCCTAGCCTGCTGGTCCAGGTATGCCACAGAGGCACCTTAAGATGCCAATCAACACTGCACATCCTGATGGAAAAGCAGGACTTGGGAGCCCATCCTTCCAGCCCCCTGCCCCGCAGCCTCCCACTCCCGCAGTAGCAGGGCGTGGCTCAGAGATGCCTGGGAACACAAAGACCTCCTCCATGTAGCGAAAAAGAAGCCTCTAAGAAAGGTTGTGGAGTGAAGATAGCGACGTGCTATCTTGTGTGTGTGAATAATGTGTGACATAGCCGCTATTTTCTTGAGAAAGGAAGAAATGCACATCCACATTTGCTTGCATGAGGATAAAGCCTCCTGGATGGGTGTACAAGGGACAAGGGACTGGCTGCTCCTAGGAAGGAGCTGGAGAGCTGCGAGGCAGGGTGAGAGGGAGACTTTTCCTATGGACCCCTTTGTACCTCTTGAGTCTTGAAGGCTGTGAATGTATCACATGTTCAGAATGCATCAACTGTTGGGAAACAAACACAAACACGATGGAAACCCCATCTGTGCAGCACATGTTTCTTGGGTGCCCCTTTGTGCCTGGGAGCAATGGTGTGAGAGAGCAGGTCATGGTCACACCTTTCAAAAGAGTGAGGGGATAGGAAGAGAGGTATGTCTGTGATTATAATCATCATTGGTGAGTTCAATGCCAGAGGAAGCCTGGAATCCCCCGGGCTCACAGAGGAATCCAAGTGGGTAGTTAGAAAGGGCTTCCTGGAGGAGGAGATTCTTGAGCTGTTTTGAAGGTAGCATAAGAGTTGACTGGATGGAGAAGGGAGGGAAGGGTTGGATGAGACTGAAGTGTGGGTTTCTATTCTGATTGCCAAAACCTGTGGTGCCTTTGGGTGTTAGTCTTCCCATTCATAACACAGGAAACCTTGGTTCAGGGAGCCAGGCAGGAAAGTAGTTCCAGCCTCTAGAATTTCAGCCCTCACCTACCCCTCTGAAGCCGCTGTGGGCACTCTGGTCCTGTGTGGGCTGCTGCTTCCCAGAGAGGTGCTCTCGCTAGCTGAGGACAGCGGGCCAGCCCCTTCCGGCTGCTTCCCCTACTTGTGGATTCGTCTTGTATTCTCGGATTCCAAATCCTGCAGGATTTAATATCCACTCTGTAATCTACTGGCACCAATAGGCATTATCTAACTAAACCTTAAATTGAAAATGCTAGGCTTCTATTTTCCCCACGCCGTCGGGAGAAGTCGGGACTCTCTTCGTCCAATGTAATTTACTCTTGCACTAATTAAAGTGCGTCACTCTGCTGTCCTTGAAGGCACACAGCCTGCCCCCGACAAGGAATGCAGCCGGGGTGGACGAGGCAAAGCAGGGGCCGGGCTGGCCAATCTAGGGCTGCAAGATGGTTCCTGCATCCATCCCAAGTGCCTCTTGCTTTAAGGCCATTTCATTTCCTGAGAGATGGAGAATTCACTTGTTGTAACATTCATTCATTCATTCTCTCACTCATTCACTCCCTCCCTCCCTCCTGCATTTATTAAGCACTCAAGGCAGGCACAGAAATAAAAGCTGCTAAACATATGATCAGGCTCTTCTCTCCAGCCCCTCCCCCGATGTCGTGAGGGTTTCACAGGATGCAGGTTCCTAGGTCATGCCAGCTCACAGAGGAACCCAGGGATGGGGAGCAAGAATAGCTAATGTGGCCGGGCGTGGTGGCTCACGCCTGTAATCCCAGCACTTTGGGAGGCCGAGGCGGGTGGATCACGAGGTCAGGAGATCGAGACCATCCTGGCTAACACGGTGAAACCCTGTCTCTAGTAAAAAAATACAAAAAATTAGCCGGATGTGGTGGTGGGCACCTGTAGTCCCAGCTACTCGGGAGGCTGAGGCAGGAGAATGGCGTGACCCGGGAGGTGGAGCTTGCAGTGAGTACAGACTGTGTGCCACTGTACTCCAACCTGGGCAACAGAGCTAGACTCCATCTCAAAAAAAAAAAAAAAAAAAAGAATAGCTAATGTTACAGATGCTTCCTTGCACCCAACATTATTTAAAGAACTCTGTTTTTTTAAAAAATGAAACTTATTTTGAGATCATCGTAGATTCACATGCAGTTGTAAGAAATAATAGAGATCCAGTGCGCCCTTTGCCTAGTTTCCCCCAATATTAACATCTTGCAAAACTATAGTATAAGATCATGACCAGGAAATTGACGTTGACACAGTCAAGATACAGACTGTTCCGTCACCACAAGGAGAGATCCTGTTGTCCCTTCATAGGCACTTCCCCTTTTCCTTTTCTTCTGACCCCTGGCAACCATGAATCTCTATTTCTATAATTTTGTCATTTTAAGAACATCACAGAATCATTTAACCTTTTGGGATAGGCTTGAATAACTCATTTAATGCTTTTTTTTTTTTTTTTTGATGGAGTCTTACTCTGTCGCCAGGCTGGAGTGCAGTGGTGCGATCTCGGCTCACTGCAACCTCCACCTCCCAGGTTCAAGCAATTCTCCTGCCTCGGCCTCCTGAGTAGCTGGGACTACAGGCGCACATGACTGTGTCTGGCTAATTTCTGTAGTTTTAGTAGAGATGGGTTTCACCATGTTGGCCAGGATGGTCTCAATCTCCTGACCACCCACCTCAGCCTCCCAAAGTGTTGGGATTACAGGCATGAGCCACTGTGCCCGGCCTCATTTAATTCTTGTAACAACCTGATGAGCAAGGTCAGCATCAGTGTCCTCATTTTACAGACATATAAGTTGGGGCCAGGGCAGTGAAGTAACTTGTAGAGACAGGATTTAAGCTCAGGTTGTCCTGACAGCAAACCAGGCTCTGAAGTCTCTCCAATGTAACACTGACTTGCAGGCACTGCTTGAACTGATGGCCCTTGATCCTCCATGTGTCAGGTTGAATTCCCTCTGCTTCCAAAACACGGCTGGGGGTCTTGGCTCTGGAATGCTAAGGTCTCAGTCCTGGAGGCTGGAGAGGGCAGTCCCAGCTTGTCCTATCCAGCCTGAATTCTCAAGTGCAGGCCATGGTGCAGGGACCCAGAGATGACACTTCCTGGAGACAGAGGTGAAGCCCTAGCTGTCTGCAGGGGTTGGCCGGGACTCAGTGCTCACTCCTGTCTCAGTGGGGGTAGCGGAGGCTCATACGGTGACGTGCTCCTTCTCCCCAGTGCTCTCCAAGGCTGTTCAGGCCTCACAGCCCGGAATTGGAGTCTCAGATACTGTGGTCAGGTCAGCTATGGGGCCATGACGGGTCAGCTCCGAAGTAGTGTCACTTGCAGAGCTAACCAAGCGTGAGATTGCTCAGATGGCTGGAACAAGCGAGTCCCCTGTGCATTCCCTCTCCCTTCAGCCAGCCACAGGCTCCTTTAGCTCTCACCTAGGTCCTGCTCCTGCCATAATATCACCTGACACTGATGAGGTCACAAAGCCAGTACCCATGGGTCCCACTCACTGTTGACAAGGGCCTCATCTCCCAGTGGGAAGCCTCAGTCCCTGGTCCCTGGAGAGGGGAGCTGGTTCTCTCTGCATCCAGTGGGAGAGCCTGAATAGACCTGCAGGAGGTGGGTGCTCCCAGCCTCATCCGGGGGTCAGATGAGCCAGGGCTGGGGCTCTGCCTGTGTGTATGAGTGGGGGATGGGAGAGGACTTCTGTATACTAGAGTTGGAGTCAGCGGCATTGACCCTGGCCCCTAGGCATCAGGGATTCTCTGCAGGGCAGAACCAGGGCCAATGGGAAGGAGTTATGATGGGAGATGGGTGGTTTTTGCTCAACAACAGTGAGATTTTTTGTAGTAAATAGTAGAATCCAACAGCAGAGCAGACTGCTTTGTGAGATAGTGAGATCCCCATCAGTGAAGGTATTCATTCATTTATTTAACACACATTCGTTGCCTACCTTGGCTCTTGGCACTGGAGTTCCACAGATGTGGGTTCAAGTTCCAGTTCTGCCACTTAGGATTCCGTGATCCACAGCGAATTCCTTGTGTCTCAGTTGCCTCACTTGTAAACATGAATAATAACAGTTCTTTACCTATCTCAGTGGGAAGGTCGAACAACTCCAAGCTCCATGCCTCACACAGGTAAAGACACGGAGCCTTGAACGTACTATTTCACAGGTGTAATTACCTCTATCCTGCAAGTGAGTTAAATAGCACATTCTCCATTACTAAATGTCTGAGTGGGAATCTGAATCCAATTCAGTCTAATTCCAAGTCATTCTCTTCCCTCTGAACCATAAGGCTGGGCTCAGTTAGGTATTCAAATCTGAGCTGTGGGACTTGTATCTAGAATATATAAAGAACACTTACAACTCAATAATAAAAAAGACCAAAAACTCAATTAGAATATGGGCAAAGGATCTGAATATACATTTCTCCATGGAAGGCATATGAATGACCAAAAAGCAAATGAAAAGATGCTGCACATCATCAGGCATCAGGGAAACACAAATCAAAACCACAAGGAGATGCCACTTCACACCCGGTAAGACGGGGATAACCAAAGACAGACAATAGCCAGCGCGAGGCTGTGGGGAAACCGGAGCCCTCATACACGGTTGTGTGGGAGTGTAAAATGGGGCAGCCACGCTGCAACACAGCCTGGCAGTTCCTCAAATGGCTAAACAGAGAGTCACCATATGACCCAGAAATTCCATTCCTAGGCTGATACTCAAGAGAATTGAAAACATACATCCACGCAAAACTTGTACAAAAATGTTCAGAGCAGCATTACTGATAATAGCCGAAAATAAGAAACAACCCGAATATTCATCAACTAATGAATGGAGAAACAAAATATGGTCTATCCATACAATGGAATATTATTCAGCCATAGAAAGAATGAAGCGCTGACACATGCTACAACATGAATTAACCTTGAAAACATGATGATAAGTTGCTGGGTGCAGTAGCACGTGCCTGTGGTCCCAGCTACTCTGGAGGCTGAGGTGGAAGGATCACTTGATCCCAGGAGTTCAAGGCCACAGTGTGCTACAGTGGGCTGTGAGTAGCCACTGTACTCCAGCCTAGGCAATATAGCACAGCCCCATCTCTAAATAAATAAAAATAAATAATAAAATTTAAAAAACAAGATTTAAAACGTATTCCACTTATTACATAATTCAATTTATATGAAAGTCCAGAATAAATCTGTAGAGAGAGAAAGTAGAGTGGTGTTTGCTTAGGGTTGGGGGCTACGGTGTGGGGTAGGGGAATTGAGGAGTAATTGAGGAGTAATACCTAAATGGTAGAGGGTTTCTTTTTGAGATAATGAAAATGTTCTAAAATCGGCTCTGGTTATGGTTGCACATATTTGAGAATATACTAACAACCATTGAATTGTATAATTTAAAAGCGTGAATTGTATGGTATGTAAATTATATCTCAACAAAGCTGTTAAAAAAGAGAGAAAGAGAAATAAACCTATAAAAAACGTGATGATGCACACCTGTAGTCCCAGCTACTCAGGAGGCTGAGACAGGAGGATCACTTAGCTTAGGAGTGCAAGACCAGCCTAGGTTTTTTTCTAAGACCCCCATCTTGGAAAAAAAAAACATCTGAGGCTGTGAGAGAAGTGGCCAAGGTGTGGGTGGAGATAGAGTCTGGGGAATCTCAGCACACTGGTGCAGGGGAGACTATGAGGATGCATGACCTTGCTTAGGAAGGATTTCCCAAGTGGGAAGATGGATGGAACCTGGAGGAATGCCTTCTAGAGGAATAGGCACTGCTTGGGTGTACCCCGGGTGGGGTGGGAGAGAGGGGGCTGCACCAGTGTCCTCTGGCAGCACTCACAGCCCAGCAGGAAAGGGCACATCAGTGTTGGGATGGGGGGTTCTGATCATGGCTAGGCAGGTGCCCCACCTGCCTCCCAGACCACCCACACAATCCCATGGAGATGAACAGCACTCGACCCACTCCGTGTCTCCCAAGAACACAGGATTGGAGGGGCAGAGCCAGGTCTGGACCTGGGTGGTTGCTACCTCTCTGGCCTTGGTCTCCATATCAATGGTATGAAGGTGGCAGTTTCTCCCTCACCGTGTTGCGCGGTGTGAAAGTGGAAGTTGTGTTGAAAGCACACGGTGAGCGTGCAGATGGGGGCCAGAATTCATCTTAGCTGGCCTTGGTCGTCACTTCAACTGTGGGTAGTTGAGCAGCATTACTGTTCCCATTTCACAGATGAAGAAACAGAGAGGTTGTGTGCATTGGTGACTTTCTAAAGGACACGTTGTGAACAGAGATAGGACGGGACCCTGCTCCAACCGTGTGCCCACCAGGTCATCCTTGTTGCCTCACGCCTGATAACCGAGCAGGGCTGGAAAAGTGCTGTCAACAAATGACTTCTTTTCGCCTTTAGGACAAACTTCTGCATATGTAGGCCTGGTGGCATTCCTCTCACCTTACAGGTGAGAAAATTGAGTCGAGGAACACGCCTGAGGTCCCACCTCTGACAGTGACAGGCCAGGACTGTAACTTTCCTTCATCCAAACCTGGTACCTACATGACTCAAGCAAGGGAAAGGTCAGGGCACCCCTGCCTCCCACTGGCCTTAGAGCAGCCACACCCATGATCCCGAGCCTTTTGGACTCCGAGATGCAGCAGATCAAAGGCCTTGTGATAAAAGTGGAGACTTAGGTAGGTACTGTGGATGGGGAGGGCATGCAGGTTGGGGTACGGGTCTAGGGGCTTGCAGACTCCACGTTGTTGCCTGCAAAGCCAGTGTGAGTAACCAGGCAGCCCTTTCTGTGGACGCCCTACCTCTCCCGGAGGCTGTTGTGGGATGAAGGAAACTGGAGCTTCTCTGCCCAGGGAAGGTGGCTGCATTTCAAGCGGGAATTGTACAAGCACTCTTGATAAACAGCAGGTAACCCCACTCCCAGCAGCTAACAGGATTAATCTAAATGCACACAGACGCAGCTGGGCAAAATCAAAACACAGAACCCAGGTTAAATCATACCACTTAACGGGAGCCCTCAGAGCCTCAGAGCACGTCACCTGACTGGTGCCCGGCGTGGGGTGGGGACGTGGGAGGAGGCCGTGTGCGCTGATGCTTGCTTTTGAGGGGCTGTGGGAGCCCTGCTGCAGCGTAGGGGCCAAGGGAGCCCTGGGGCAGGGCTGCGGGACCAGGCAATGGCGCGTCGGAAGGTCAGGTGTTCAGGCCGCCATGGCGGGGAGCAGGGCCGTCTCTGAGGGCTTGGAGTGGCAGGTGGGGTGGTCAGCCGGGAAGGCCGCAGCAGCTTCACGCTCTGGGAAAGTGGGAGAGGGCTTCAAGTGCTCCTGTTGACTCCCACTCCCACTCAATCAGCCCTGTCCAATGAGGGGTCCCATCCCAGGGATGTTCACAGGAAGGAGAGAAGCCAGGCTTTGGGTAGCTCTGGCATCCCGGGGCTTGTTCTGGCCTCCACAGGGAGAAACAGAGGGAACATCACACCCAGACTGCCGCAGCCCCTCCCCACTCCAGCCATTATCAGCTGCTTTTACAGTTGAGGACGCTGAGGCACAGCCAATTTTCAGGTCACGCTCTTTGCCCTGCCCCCAAGCTTCCTCCCAAATCAAGGCTCTGGTGAGAAGCAAGTTCCCTGTCCTGCACCTGCCTTGGGCTCAGGTCAGTTCCACCCAAGATCACAGCAGAGCCTCGTTCCTCCCCAGGGCCTGGGGCCATCATCTGTGGGGTCCTCCATGAACACTCTGTGGGGCCAGCTGCCGTGGGCTGGGGAAAGGAGAGTGGCCATGGGAATCACTTCCCAGGCTCCTCAAATGGGGCGAGAGCTGGGAGTTCATCACTGTCACCTCTTGGCCTCCAGAGTGGCCAGCAAGCCAGCGGGCAACCCCTTTTCCCTTGGACCTCAGGAATGATGGTAACAATTGCTAATGTTTACTGAGCACTTTTTCACCACTAGGACCTTAGCTAAGCCCTTTGAATCCACAATGTCCTCGAATGCACCCAGCAACTTCAGGAGCTGAGCATTGAATGTGGCACGATCTCCATTATACTGAGGAGGTTCTGAGGTCATACATTGGGAGCCAAACCTGGACCCCAAAGTCCTATGATGTCACCTTCCTAGGATTCAGCTCCATTCCCAGGCCCTTCAGGAAAGGGTAATGGGAAGGGAACAGGTAGTGTCTAGAATCACAAGACTTGATCTCAGGTTCCTGCTCCTTCCCACTAGCTGGTTCTATGGCCCTGGGAGCAGGGGCCATAATCTTTGAACTCTTTGAACTCTTTACTCTTTGAACCTGAAATTCCTGGTTTGTAAAACAAACACGGAGAAAAATCTTTGCCTTACCTGCACTGCTGCATTATGGGAATCAAATGAGAAAAATATACGACCGTGGTTTTCATGCTGCGAGGCACCACATAAATGTGAGTTATTACACCACGCCCCAGAGCAGGCATGTTCCTGGCTCTGTGTGATTTTTTTTGTTGTTGTTAAAACCGTTAGGAATGATAATTACTTAATAATGATCCTATTCCTAATCCATGCACCTCTGCAGGGGGACATCAATGCCTCGGCATTGAGACATAATTGGTCTCTGCCCAGGGCCCAAGAGCAGGGGATAGTGCTCCCTATTTTGCAGTGGGGTAAACAGGCCTCCAGCATGAGCAAAGGGATGTCCAGAGTTCCTTAGCCCTCCAGGGTGACGTTCTGGACTTAGAATCTGGGATTGGAACCTTCCCCCTCCTGCTGTGAGGGCTCCCAGGCTGCCCTGAGAGTGATTTATGGCAGGAATCTGCAGTGAGTGCTGTGTCAGCGCTCCCCGCTCCCACCTTCCTGCTCTGTCTCCACCCCTCTTTATCTGCCTTCTCCCCGTTTCTCCTGTGCTGCCACTCACCTCCCACAGCTCTGTCTTCCCTGGTTGCCCCTAGGCTGATCGGAGCCTAATTTCAGCTCCTTTCTGGGGCTGAGGAGCTCACGCTGAGCTGTCAAGAGGGGCTGGGGAATTTAAGCGGGAGGCCCATGGGGGAAAGTGGGGAGGGAGGAGTCCCTGTCCTTTGTCCCAGGCCATCAGCCCTGCGGCCCTTCAGGTCTTCTTTCTGGAAAGGGTCAAAAGAGTACCTGAGGCAGAAATGTCAAGTCATCTCTTTGCATTCATGTAACCTGTGTGTGGCAGAACCTGCATTTGAGCCCAAGTCTGTGGAATGCCCAGGCCCACGAGTGTGTCCAACACCCAGGATCATTAAAGCCTGGCACCAGGGCTGTGGGCAAAGCTGCCCCCTCAGGCCATGCAGACTCCTTCACAGAGATCCCGGTGCTTTGCCACAGCATCTCAGATTCCAAGTCCTACTGGGAAGGAAATTCGGGGGGAGTGTGCCAGGGCCAGGAGGGCAGAAGCAGACATCAGAACCTCCTTTCTGAGCTTTGATCCGGGCTGGTAAGGTGCCAGACCAAGGGCTTCTGGGGAGTTGTTGAACAGAGCCTGTGAGTGGGCACTGCCCAGGCAAACAGCATGTCACCAAATAGTGAAAACCAAATAGTTGAATATTCAACTTATGAAAGCCAAGGATTTGTTGTATTGCTAACTCATTTTTTAACATGCATAAAATGGAAACTCAGAGAGACTCTTTAACTTGTCCAAGGTAACACAGTACCCTCCTGGCACAGAAGCTAGCGTGTGGGTCACTCTCTGGCCAGTTGCTGGCTATGCTTTCCCTCCTTCCTCACCCCTTCCAGCATCCAGAATCCCAGGAGGCTGATCTGCTCTTGGCTTCAAGGGTAGGCCAAATTCAGAGTGATCACACTCAAGGCCACTGCTCAGCCTCCCTCCCTGGCTGCTCAGGGCCATGTGCTGCTCCTCCCTCTACACCCAGGATGCTCGTGGCCTGGGGAGGCTGGCGAGGACCTGAAATCACTATCATAACTCTCGTTTCTGGGACCAGAGGGTCAAGTGGGTACTTTGGAGGCACTGGTGGGTACAGAAGGAACTTGGGGAGCTGGAACAGGACTCTGAGATTTAAGGTGCTCTGGGGAGAGCAGGTACAGAATGGGAAGGGCAGCTGTGATCTTTGGGTTACCAGTCCCTGCCTCTCAACTCCTCTGTTGGCCTTCCCCTAAATTCAGGGACAATGAAACACTAGGGCACTGGGCCAGCGGGGCCACCTGACTCTCTGAGGCCGGATCCTCCTGTGCTGACTCTGACAAGCCCAGCTGAGGAGGCGGCACTGGCAGATTTTCCATCCTGTGGACAAACTTGTTATTTACGTTGATTGGTGCGTGATTTACAGCTAATTTGTTAATCAACCACAGCCTATGCAACCTGGGTGCGCCTGCTTCTCCCTAATGATCCACCAAGATCCTGTTCTGAGAGGCTGGCCCAGGCAGGCTGTGGGAAACCGAGGGTGGTGATGTGGGCCTGGGATGGGGCGCACCTCACACCCAGGAATGCCCATCAACCCTCACTGCCCCCATATGAAGCTGCTTCCTCTGGCTCTCCTGGATTTTCACCACGCCCTCCCTCACCCCATACCCATACCTTAAGGCCACTCTTACTCTAGGACAGCAGTTACCGGGCGCCTTGGGCATCTCATCTCACCCCTCTGGGCCTCAGTTTCCCCATTTTTTGGTAGCTTACTGATCTCTGAGTGAGGAAGATGGGTAATTTCCATGAAAGCACCATACTAGTCAGGGTGGTGTTAGAGCTGGCATTTATGGGCTCACGAGAGTGGAGCATTAAACCTTTAGTGATTTTGTGAGCTGGTTGATAAACATAGCCGTTATTAGAAATTACATTATATAAACTACAATTAAATAAGTCATATTAAACATCAAGGTAATAAATACTCAGAACTTATTGCTTCCTGATTATTTTACTGCATTTTATTATCTATGTTCGAGATTATTTCCATCTCTGGTATCTGTCTGGTGGAGAGGCTGTATGATGCCACGCCAGCAAGCATCTCTTCCCAGTGCCACACTCAATGATGTCAGCTTGAAATGAGCCAGGCTAGGAATATTCACAACATGGAATTGACAAAGACTCTAAATCATTCATTGTTCTGTTCTTTATCCAGACTTTAAAAAGCGATGGAGAAGCTGGGCACGGTGGTTCACACCTGTAATCTCAGCACTTTGGGAGGCTGAGGTGGGCGGATCACCTGAGGTCAGGAGTTTGAGACCAGCCTGCTAACATGGCGAAATGCTGTCTCTATCAAAAATATAAAAATTAGCCAGGCGTGGTGGTGCATGCCTGTAATCCCAGCTACTCAGGAGGCTGAGGCAGGAGAATTGTTTGAACCTGGGAGGTGGAGGTTGCAGTGAGCCGAGATCGCACCACTGCATTCCAGCCTAGGTGACAGAGCGAGACTCCATCTCAAAAAAAAAAAAAAAAAAAAAAAAAAAAAAAAGCGATGGAGAATATCTTAATGATGCAGATTAAACTTAAAAGTGTGCTGTGTCTGTGACTATTACACATCTATGAAAAATGAGGAAATATTCTTGCAGTAAGTGAAAACTAGTATCTGATGCCACCGTGAAGTCACTCACATCGTTGATGAACAAGGGAAGTTTCAACAAATAGTTTTGTCATTTCACTTTTTTTCTTTTTTTTTTTGAGACAGAGTTTTGCTCTTGTTACCCAGTCTGGAGTGCAATAGCATGATCTTGGCTCACTGCAACCTCTGCCTCCCGGGTTCAAGCAATTCTTCTGCCTCAGCCTCCCGAGTAGTTGGGATTACAGGCACCTGCCACCATGCCAGGCTAAATTTTTTTTTTTTTTCATTTTTAGTAGAAATGGGTTTTCACCATGTCGGTCAGGCTGGTCTTAAAATCCTGACCTTGTGACCTGCCCGCCTCGGCCTCCCAAAGTACTGGGATTACAGGTGTGAGCCACCGCGCCCGGCCCATTTCACTTTTTTTTTTTTTTAAACCCATTAATGTAAATGAAAATATCAATCAACATCCCTGTGGGAATTACACTGGCTTGTCAATTGCGATCATAGACTAGCTCCAAGTAGAGGAGTTCTGCAAAGATCAACTAAAGCATTCTGTGAGAATCAGTTGTTTCTACGTAATTTATGATAAAGGATAGTATATATTTTATTATTATTTGTAAGATATATGCCACACATTCTTTAGACCTGTAAAATTACACACATACATACACATGTTTTTCCCAAAGAGCCAGTTGTTAAAGATTTGCCAGTGCACCACCGACTGCGCTCATGGGAGAGACCATTGTTCTTTTCCTGTTGAGCCCCTGCTTCAGCTCTAGGACTTGTATGATGTCAGCTCTTAATGGCTCACCCAGATATTGGGGAAGGAGCTAGAACCTGTACTTCTCATCATCCTTTCCAGCCCCCACCAGAGGAAGACTATTTCTAGCTGCAAGGAGTCATTTCCCCCTGGGGTCCCAGCAAAGAAAGTGTCTTTAGGACACTTCCCTGGGCAGAGAGCAGAAGGACCCAGAACCCTGGAACTTGCCTGTGAAGCTCCGGGGCGTCTCCATCTTTGCTTGACTCCATCCATAGTCTGAGCCCTGGCATCACCTTGGGTGGGGGCACCATGCCCTCTGGTCTGGACTTTGATAAGAGCCTCCAAACCGGCCTCCCTGCTTCTATTCTTGCCCGCTTTACAACGTGTTCTCCACGTGCTCCCAGAGGGATCCTTTTTTTTCTTTTTTTAATTTTAAAAATTGTTTATTTTTTTAAATGGAGATGAGGTCTCACTCTGTTGCCCAGGCTGGAGTGCAGTGGTGCAAACATGGCTCATTATAGCCTCCTACCCCTGGGCTTAAGTCATCCTCCTACCTCAGCCTTCTGGGTAGCTGGGACCACAGGCATGCACCACCACGCTCCGTTTCAGAGGGATCCTTTTAAAACCTAAATCAGGCCAGGCGCGGTGGCTCACGCCTGTAATCCCAACACTTGGGGAGGCTGAGATGGGCAGATCACAAGGTCAGGAGATCAAGACCATCCTGGCTAACATGGTGAAACCCTGTGTCTAGTAAAAATACAAAACATTAGCCGGGCATGGTGGCACGCGCCTGTAGTCCCAGCTCCTCGGGAGGCTGAGGCAGGAGAATCACTTGAACCCGGGAGGCGGAGCTTGCAGTGAATTGAGATCACACCACTGCACTCCAGCCTCGGTGACAGAGCGAGACTTTGTCTCAAAAAACAAAACAAAACAAAACAACAACAACAAAAAAACAAAACAAAAAAACTAAATCACATTGTGCTACTCCTCAGCCAGAAACCCTGCAAAAGCCCCCCCGGGTGTCCCCTCAGGCCTCGGGCTACCTCATCCCCATGTCTTAGGGCTCTGCCCTTCCCTCTGCTCCCCCTCTGCACCAGCCACACTGGCCTCTGCCGTTCCAGGCTTCTCCCCTCTCAGAGCCTTTGCTCTGGCTGTGTCCTTGGTCTGGGATAATCTTCACCAAAATACCTGCTTGGCTCATTCCCTCACCTCCTTCAAATCTTCACTCAAATCTCACCTCCCTACAGAGGCCTGTCTTCAGTTCCCTTCAACACTGTCCCTGACCCCCACCCCAATGCACCTAAGCACCCAATGCTGATCTACTTTCTGTTTGTTCTTAGTCTTTCTCACTTCATAATAGACTAATGTTTTTATTATCTTTGCAATGGAATCTGAGTTCCATGAGGGCAAGGATTTTCGTCTATTTCGTTCACTGATACCCCCATACTCCAAATGCCGGGCACGTGCTGGGTGTCAGTAAATATTTTTGAAGAAATGCTTTGGGGAAGGAAGGGCAGCTTCTAGAAAGGAGCATGTGTGGAAGAGCAGGAAACACTTCCTTTCTCTATTGGTGCTGGGGTGGGAGGAGGCCAGCCTGCTCAGCCGGTTTCCCAGCTCCTCTCCCGCTCAGAGCCTCTGGGGCCCTGTATTAGTCAAGGCTCTCTAGAGAGACAGAACCAATGGGATATGTGTATATATATGTATTAAGAAAGAGATTTATTCTAAGGAATTAGCTCATGCAATTTTGGGGGTCAACAAATCCCAAGACCTGCAGCCAGCAGGCTCGAGACGAGGAAAAGCTGACGTTCCAGTTCGAGTGAAGAAAATACTGATGTCCCAGCTTGAAGACAGGCTGGAAGAATTCCCTCCTAATTTTGGGAGGGTCCGCATTTTTGTTCTATTCAGGACTTCAACTGATTGGATAAGGGCCACTTAGATTAGGGAGGGCCATGTGCCTTCTTCAGTCCAGCAGTTCGAATGTTAATCTCTTTGAGAAACACCCTCGCAGACACACAGAATAATGATTGACCAAAAATCTGAGCACCTTGTGGCTGAGTAGAGTTGACGTAAAATTCACCACTGCAAGTGCTTTGCCTGGCCCAGCCCTCACAGAGCAGGCTCAGGGACAGGTGACCTTTCACCAAGGAACCGTGCTCTATCCAGGTGGCCTGTAAACACGACTCTTTCTCTTCTCCTGCTCTCCATGGGCCTGGAACCTGGGTAGAAGGAGAGGGAAGGTGGCCTAGAATGACCTTTGAGGCCTTGGCTCAGCCTTTGTTTTCTCATCTGTAATATGAACTTAAAACAATATCCCTTATCTCACAGTCATAAGGCTGAAATGAGAAAATGCTTTGGCAAACAGAATGCATTTTGCAAGCCTGAGGTATTAATCTTGCAAGCTACTCACTCCTACACGTCTCTGGCAAGTGTCTATCCACAATAAGGAAAGGGTTAAACCTGCCTTCTTATTTGTACAGTTTCTCATGTCCCTAGGAGGAGCAAAGAACAAGGCTTATAAATAGGATCAGGGTCTTTGCAAACAACAGTAGCAACAACACATTTGTCTGAGAGGCCAGGTTGAGAATTGGTGCTTGCTCCATCTTGTGCCCTAGAGACAATCCTCGGACTGCTGAACTTCTCCACTCTCACGGCATTGCCCATCAGGAGGGATTGCAGTTCTGAACATGACGGATCAGATGCAATATCAGAGGAGCTTCACGTCTGCAGGCCTGTCCCAGGTGAGTTCTCGCAGGTATATCTGAAAGCCAGAGGATGAATGGGAGACCCAAGGTCCCAAATGCTCAAAGAATGTATGTTCTCAGTGGTGCTTCCTACTATCCTCAGCACATCATCCCTTCCTCCTGGCCCTGTGGGGTTGGGAAGCAGAAATGAGAAGGCACTTTCCTTTCTCCAGACCTTTTTTTCTGGCTCCTCCACCCAGTCACTGGCAGAGCCAAAGTTCAGGTAGAAACTTGTCCAGCTGGACTGCCAGAACACCAATACCATCCGCTGCCCACCTGTGAAAGCTGCCTGGCAAGATGGAGCATGGATGCCTATCCCATGACACCGGGTGACGAGAAGCACAGGGTGTTCCCAGCACAGGGGCCTTTCACGGAGACAGATGACTGATGGAAACCTGCATTGACTGGGGCAGGGAAGTGTCTGTCCTCCTGTCCCTGCCAATAGCAGAGAGCATGGACTCACCCCATCCTTGTTCTCTGGGAGGACCACACCCCAATACCCATCCTCAGATACTATCTGTGTTGGGGCTTCACTTCAGAGGTGAATATGAAGCTGCTTGGTTTCATCTCACAGTTGAGGTGAGGCTAATTCATTCATTCGATGGTTATTTATTGAGAGCCTATTCTGTGCCTGTGTATTGGCACTGTTTTCAATCTCGGAATCCAAGAACAAACAACATAGACAAGGTCCCTTCTGTAACGGAACTTACGTTCTAGTTGGGGAAACAACAGCACACATGTGAACACGTGTAAAGAGGAGGAAAATGGCCCAGATCTGGGCTTTGGATGTATCACTGACTAGCTGTGTGACCTTGGGCAAGTAATTTAACTGTTGTCAACCTCAGTTTTCTCGTATTTAAAGTCAGGAGGATAATAACAACATTGATGTCATGGGGTTGTTGTGAGAATTATTTGAAAGTATATGAAGTACACAACAGAGTTCTTGGCTCACAGTAGACATCCCCATGCACACATGTACCCATTATTGTTATTGCTGTTGTTATAGTTAATATCACTTACCTAGAAACGGAATCAGAAGAGACCAAAATGCCATATTCTTTCTTTCAGTAAAGTGACACCCGGGAAGGGGTGAGCCAAAAGCCATGTCTGTACAGCATCACCAGCTTTTAGTTGGTAAAACATCAGTTCAGCCAACTCCTTGAGTGTTTGGTCAACAAAGGCTTTAACAACTGACTTTTTTTTTTTTTTTTCATTAGTGGGATCAGGTGGTTGTTTGAATTAGATGAACCAATTGATTCTTCTAATTGAATGAATCAATTCATTGTTCTAATGTCATGGTGACCCAAACTAAGATTGGTTACAGTTTTATCTAAGGCCCTGGGTACTTTCTCTTTCATGATGAGCCTTTTGTCCTGGCTCTGTCATAGTTTTATAGCTGTTAAAAACGTGTGATTGAGTGTGAGGATGCACGTATGTGCATGTGTGTACATACACACATATATACACAAAAGACATGCCAACCCATCACTATCCCTGCTGAGTTGAGACCAAGAGAATGCAAACTTTATATTTTGCCAACAGCTTTTACCTCTTCTCAGCCAGTTTCTTTCTTTTTTTTTTTTTTTTTCAGAGCAGAAGCCAAAGAGCCAAATGGCATAGTCTGAATGTGGTCACTATCCTGCCAGCCACTGGGCCAGACTCTGGCTGTTGGCACAGGGTTCTGCTGCCCGTTGTGAGATAGCATCAGCTCTGCCTGGCATGGAAAAGGGAGAGTTGGCATTGTCAGCCTGTAGGTGCTTGTGGGGAGGAGGTAGAGGATGTTGGTTACTGGCAGGCAAACCTGTTGCCACTGAAACTTGGCACGTCTGGGTGGCTTCAGCAGTCCAGACAGAGAATTAGCAGGGAGGAAGAGCTCCACAGAAGTGCCCATCTGGCTCCTTGGTACTGTCCATGGAAAGAGATTTCTTCCTTGGTAGAGAACTTGGTACCTTGGAGAGGCAAATCTATTCATAGTGGGGTAAGTCTATAAGTCTAACCATAATCCTAGGATGACTCTGACCCATTATCTAGGAGAGGTCTCCTAGGGTTCTTTTTGCCCTGTGTGTGGGGAATACACACACACACACACACACACACACACACACACACACACACAGACATATATTTCAGACGGAATTTTGCTCTTGTTGCCCACACTGGAGTGCAGTGGTGCCATCTTGGCTCACTGCAACCTCTGCCTCCCTGGTTCAAATGATTCTTCTGTTCCAACCTCCCAAGTAGCTGGGACTATAGGCTCACGCCACCATGCCCGGCTAATTTTTATATTTTTAGTAGAGATGGGGTTTCACCATGTTGGCCAGGCTGGTCTCGAACTCCTGACCTCGAAGTGATCCGCCCACCTTGGCCTTCCAAAGTGCTGGGATTACAGGCATGAGCCACCTTGCCCGGCCCTGGGACTTATATTTTCTAAGTGTTTCCTGTAGAAGCAATAAATGCGGCTTCTGAGCTCTTGGAAATTGGTGAGCTGGTAATGTCTTGACAATTGCTCCTGTCTGCTCTGGGAGCATCATCTCCCATTGTCACCCCAAGTCCTTGATGGAGTCCATAAGGGCTCTGCTTCCCTGGGCCAGGAGACAGGCTGCATACCCAAGCACCTTTCCTTCCACATGCAGACAGCCTGAGAGCACTGCCTGAGGAGCCAGGAGACCAGGATCCCAGGGTCAACACTGCCTTTTACAAGCTGTGGGACAGACACAAGTTGCTTAACTTCCTCAGGCCTCAGTTCCCAGCTGCCCTACCTAAAGTGGTGAGGATTAAACGAAATACTACAGGTGGAAGCAAACTGTAAAAAAAAACTTCAAACACATGCAAGGGGTTACATTAAGCTCTCCACACAACCCTCCCACCAGATGAGCTCCCTGGGACGACTTTTTCATCCTGTCTTGTTAGAAAGCTGCTTACTTGGATAAAGCCCTCAGGAGATGCAAGATGTTCATCCCGAGGGAACCTCCACTCCCTCCTGGCCTGTCCGCCTGATCCCTAGATTTTTCTCCACCCTGAAGCTCTCAGCCTTCTCCAAAGCTAGTCCCTGAGCAAGCGCAGACTTGAGCAGGGGAAGGGAGAGCCAGAACAACTACAGAAAGAAAAGATTAGGGATTCTCTTTCTATTCCTTTCTTGGTTTCCTGTTCTGAGCTGGGTGAGCAGCCTGATTTATTTTTGACAAATGTATCTGCATTATGAATTATATTGGGGATGGAATTGTTACATTAAATCAAAGTTAATTTTCGACTTCTGTTCAGGGCGCCATAAATAATCAACTCCAGGATAAGGTTATGGACTGAAGTCGCCCAAATTATGCTAATGAGGATGATTAAACTTTAGAATTTTAAGTTTCTGTAAGAATAACAATCAGTTAGCATTTACATTTCTGCCATGCCCTAGGATCTGCTGCTTTCTCTGAAGCTGCTATTAAATATAAATAATAATACCATTTTTTAAAGTCAAGTTGAGCCCTTTGGGGCATATTCTATTCTCTTTCCTGGTGCTCAGCTTCTGCAGATGTGTCTGAGGCAACCAGAGAAGGAAGGGAGGGTGGCACAGAGGCCACAGAAACTGCATTTGCATTTGCCTTAGAACTGCAAAGGGATTTTCAAGTTCTAACAGAGACAATAATTAAGTTTTGCCTTGGTCCATTTGGTGAGGAATGCCAGGAAGCCCTGTTGAGCTTTAGAAGTGCTACCCTCAGTGAGCCGGCAATGATTTCCAAGGGATTTTGAATTTAGGATGGGGTAGCAATTCCTAGCCTTTTCTGCTGAGATGCTGTGTGTCTTTGGGTCCATTGCATTCACTTTATGTGCTCTGTTGTCCCTCCACAGGCTCTGGGGACCTTATAGAGGATGCTGCTGAATTCCCTAGCTTGGCTTACAGAGGAGCAAAAAGATTCCGTTGATTTCCAGCCTCATGTTTAGCCACCTGTTATCAAAGCCTGCCCCGAGAGATGTTCATCTCCTGATGTCTATGTGGGGCCCAGGTGGCTGCAATCAAAATGACAGGTCAGCTCAGAGGTTAGGTTGCTGGCTGAGTGGCTATTGTTTATCCCAGTTTCAATTTCATCGTCATGACAACCCACACAAGTCATTGTCCCAGCCGATGCCTCTGTGTGACGGAGTGTGAGGAACGTGCTTCGTCCCAGCTCGCTCTGCCTGACGGACGAGGAGCCGTCTCTGCTCTCGGGTGGCTGCTCCTTTCTTTCCTCCACGTGTTCACAGTGTTCTTATTTTCTCCACCACTTACCCAGAAATTGTTTCTGAAAAGTGTCTCATTTCAACTGAATTTGGCGCAGAGCGATTGGGAACATTGCTCGGCTGGGATTTGCTCTCTCTCCTCAGCAGTTTTGCAGGCCTTATCTCACTCCTGTGGGCTTCCAGAACTGCTGGGACCCCTGGCTGAGATCAAGTGGGGGGCAGTAGATGGGAACCTGCCTGTTTCACACTCGGATCATCCAAGGGAAGACACGAACGTTCTGCACACACAACATAGTATAAGCACAAAACTTGCCTTAATGTGTCTTCCAAGCTATGCGGGACCCCTTCCTTGAAAATTTCAAGAGACAGATGGCTGGTGTTTCTGTTGTGCTCCATGGCTCTGAGAAATCCTGTGTCTGTGTAGGGCTGTTGAGATGCCAGCTCTGGATGGTAACATCGGTGAGCCTGGAAGGCTTTGCCTTGGAAGCATGGGGCCTGTGTCTACTGAGCTTCTCTTTTGGGTCCTCCAGCACTTGATGATTCTGAGAACACATGTTCCTTTACTTTAGGGAGCAACCTCAAAAATGGACCCTTCTTCTTCGCTCTGGCATGGTGGTGATTCTGTTGGGAGGCGCCTTGGGCCAGATATATCCTATTCTGGAGGCTCACAGGCAGGCCCAGCACTGAGAGAAACCCTGCCTGGCCCGACAAGCCTTCTCCTGAGGGTGGCTTCTCCTGTGGCTACAGGATCATCTATATTGGTCAAACGGATGGTACAAGATGTTTTAAAAAGATATTGGGATTGGTTTGACTGAAAGAGAGGCTGTGAAGGACTGGGGTGCTCATTAAGAGTCTCAGAATCAAGGAAGGTTGTTATGGAGACAGGCTGATCACTGCCGTGGGAAAGGCTGGGGTGAGGCAGGTGGATCACTGCCGTGGGAAAGGCTGGGGTGAGGCAGGTGGATCACTGCTGTGGGAAATGCTGATCTGAGGCCCATATGCATGGCCCCTGTTGTCATGGTGGGGGTGGTGGGGAGACACAGAGTTGAGCCAGGCAATGGGAAAGGGCAGAAAGCAGATATGGGAGTTGAGAGCCGGGGCTGAGCCAGCAGAACTGGGAGCAGGAGCGCTGTTAGAAAGTGGTTTGATCTGGGGCTCAAGCCAACTGAGTTGGTCAACACTAAGAGCCAGCAGGCTTCACCTTCTTCATCTTTATTCATTCAACAGACATTTTTGGAGTATTTACTACATGCCAGGTGCTATTCTAGGCACTCATCAGTGAGTGGTCAGTGAAACAGACAAAAATCCCAACCCCAACAGGGTTTTACCTTCTAGTGGAGCAGCCAGGCAATAAGCAGATCACTTAGACACTCAGGATGTCAGATGGTTCCAAGTTCTGGGGAGGGGCATAGGAATGGTGGTGGTGCTACAATTTAAAACAGAGGGGTCAGGTTAGCCTTTGTGAGATGATGCTCCAGCAAAGAACTAACTGGGAGAGGGCTGGGGTCATGGGGACACCTAGGGGAAGATCAAGGCAGAAGGAGCAGCTAGGGCAGCACCCATGGGCCTGGTGTGCTGGAGACCAAGGAGGGGCCTGTAAGACTGGAATGGGGTGATCGAGAGGCGACCGCAGGGATGAGGTCTGAGGTGTCAGAAGCCAGAGCACGCTGGGCCTTGCAATCTTTGTAAGGGCTTTCTAGGTGGAATGGGAGGTCGCAGGCAGGATGGAACAGAAGAGGGGTATCATCTGCAGGCTCTTACAGGATCCCTCTGGCTGCTGTGCTGAGAATATGTTAAATTTGAGATGATCTGCTTAGATTAAGTCCTGACTCTGTCATTGTCACTGGACCGAGAAGGTCTTCATGACTACCAGACTATCTCAACTCTCAACACTAGGATTTGAACATCTTTAGGAAAATGTTGAATTGAATGTGTCACAAATTTGTCAAAATGAGCAAACTTATCAAGACACAGACTCAGCTCAAAGTGAATATGACCTTGCCCCACTGCCCTCCCTGGCGTTAGGGACACCAACCACTGCCAACTCCAACCCCTGGCTCCCACCCTAGTCAAATTCTCCCAGGTCCCTGGAGCTTTTCTTGGGACTCCAGGGCCTCACAGCCACGGACTGTGGGCTGGCCATGCAGCTCTCCACTCCACCACGAGGGGGCCTTGTTCAGTCCACTGCACCACCCACCACCATCGGCTAGCTTCCTGCAGCCTCTGCTTTTCCCTCCTGCCCACCGGTGGCTCTCCAGGGAGCGTCCTCTGCAGGCCCTCTTCCGAACTGAAGGAATCTGCGTAAAACCTCCTGGTGCCTAACTCAGATCTGCTCAAGCTCCAGGAACTCCAGCTCCCTGACACTACCTCTTGGAGCATGCCAACCCCAGAGATTAGCAGCACCTATCATCTCCCTGGTTTTCTTGGGAGTTTTCATTTAAGACCTGCCCATTAGACCTAAGAATGCTCCTCATTGATTCTCCCATGATCCCCAAACCAGGAAGGTCGGTGATAAGCCGACCTTCTCCCATGATCCCCAAACCAGGAAGGTCGGTGATAAGCCCCAGGGGCGTGTCACTCTTCGGCGGCCTCCCTCTCTAGGAGGAGGAAGATACAAGAGGTAGAATAGTTCACACTCCTTCCTGGTGGTCCAGCAGATTGGCCATGGGGGTCTCAATGTTGTGAGAGGGGCTGGGACTATGCGCCCCTCACAGTCCGTTCCCGCTTCAACATTTACATCGTCTGTGTGATGTCACTTGTTGGTGAATGGGAACTGATTGTCTTGTTTGGCCGGGGTGGGTCTGGAGGTATCTTTAGGGACACTCCTAGCTGAGTTTTTTCCACACCACTGACAACCATGCTTTGTGAGTTACCGTCTGAGGAGAGATCTGACCTGGCAGAATCAAAGGACATGGGTTTAGGAAAGGATCCAAATTACATTGAGGGCGATCCCACTGCTGTTCCAAACAGTCAAATACCCCCTTTTGATTGAATAGGTTTGTTATTAAAAATGCATTTAAAAAAATGAAATCGAAAGCAAATCCCTTCAAATAAAATTTCAGCCTTGTCTTAAATCCAGTTTATTTGAAAGTTCCATCTTCTCACACTTTGCATAGAGCTGTGCTGGAGAGATCATAGCCCTCTGTCCCCTGAGCATGATGAACCAGGAAGGTAGATATCAATCAGGTTTCCTGAAATCTGTGCAGAATGCTCCTTAGTTATTTTCTGGATACTGACATGTGCGAGGTGATCGCCTAAATTTTGTTGCATGTCACTCCACAGAAATTCTCATATCCCTTAAGGACTGAAGCTTGAACTGATATGGAACCCGTGACTCAGTAGCAGTTGCCTGCTAGCCCCTTTTGGGCTTCTGCTCCTTTGTCCATTGCATCCCCTAAACTCAGCCTACCTGGTTACTTCATATCTGTTGGCAGATTGACTCCCTCCCTCCAGACCATTTTCAATAAGAAGATCTTCCTTATTTGACTAGGAACAAATACCATGTGGCTTCCCTATGACCTGTATGCTGCCTTGATCTTCTACCCTTGGAAGAAACAGAAGGAGTGAGAGAATTATGTCAGCCAAGACAGCGTTAACTTTAATCCTGCTTAATTCCAGCTCCACAATGAAAGCCTCACTTTGAGACTTGATTGAGGTGAGTTTAGGTCAAATAAGAGGAGGTTTCATTCAGTCACATCGTCATTTATTCAGCCAACATTCACAGAGCCAGGCACAGAGCTTGGAGCTGGGAGTCAGAGGAACAATACTTGGTCCCTGCCCTTCAGAGAGACAAACAGAAACAAATAGGAAATAACTGCAACATAGGCAATTAATTCTGAAGTGAAAGGAGGCAGGCGCCCATGCTGGGGAAAGTCACTGATGGACAGTTGTAGCTTTCAGGGAGGGGACACAGGGGCAAGGAGAAAGCAGAAGAAACTGACTTGAGTTGGATTTTAAAGGCTGAGTAATAAACTCATAAAAGTAAAATTATGGGGCTGGGCACAATGGCTCATGCCTGTAATCCCAGCACTTTGGGATGATGAAGGGGGCAGATCACCTGAGGTCAGGAGTTTGAAAACAACCTGGTCAACATGGTGAAACCCCATCTCTCCTAAAAATACAAAAAAAAAAAAAAAAAAAAAAAAAAAATGGCCGGACGTGGTAGCACACACCTGTAGTCCCAGCTACTCAGGAGGCTGAGGCAAGAGAATCAGGTGAACCTGGGTGGTGGAGGTTGGCAGTGAGTCAAGATTGTGCCACTGCACTCCAGCCTGAGTGAATGAACAAGACTCCATTTCAATCTCTCTCTCTCTCTCACTCTCTCTCTCTCTCTCTCTATATATATATATGTGTATATATATATGTGTGTGTGTGTGTGTGTGTGTATATATATATATATATAAAGTAAAATTAGGAGTTCATGACCTCCTGGAGAGATGACTAGCAGGAATTGCAAATGGATTCTGAAAGGATTTGGAGAATGTGGATATTACGGGACAAAGCCTAGACTTGCACCTGGAGATGAACGTTCAAGCTGTGTTTGCCAGGATGTCATCCTTGGCAAATCACTCAACATCTCTGTGTCTTAACTTCCTCATCTGTACAGTGGGAAATACAAAAATGCCTGCCCTGCTTATCTCATGGAGCTGCTGGGAGGATCAAAAGTACCAGTGTATGTGAACATGCCAGAAATCAGTTAAGTGTGAGGCACGTAAAAGCATTTTAAAGCATTATGTTTGGAAATAATTTCAAGTTTACAAAAAGTTGCAAAATGAGAGATAGTACAAAGAATATTCATATTCACTTTATCCAGATTTACTTATTGCTTATAGTTTAACCCATGTATTATTTATTCTTATTCTCTGTCTCGTATATATGTATAAATATACTATATGAACATGTGGTTATACATGTATGTTTATACATAATTTTTTCCTGAACCATTTTTATATTACATATATTATGGCTCTTTACCCCTGAATACTTAACAGTGTGTTTTTCCTAAGAATAAGAATATTATATGCCACAGTATAGTTAACAATTTTATACATTTACATGTGTAAATCCATCACCCATATTACAAATTTTTTGCTTGGTCTAATAATGCTCTTCAAAGCATTCTCCCTTCTAGTGCAGGATTCAGTCTAGGGGGTCAGATACTGCATTTGGTTTTCAAGTTTTTTTAGCCTCCTTTAATCTGAAATATCCCACAGCCTTTCTTTGTCCTGTGCAATGTTGATATTTGTAAAGAATACAGTGCTTCCATTTTTGCATTCATCTACTGTTTCTTCATTTTTAATCTGGGGTTGTGCTAACCTCCCAACTCCGGCATTCTCTCTGCTTTTGCTAGTTGGACCTCAGAATTCTACTGCAACCAAGAGCTTTCCCTTCTTTTCTCTTTCTGTCTTTTTCTCCTTCTTTCCTTCTCTTTCTTTCTTCCTTCCTTCTTTCTCTTTCTTTCTTCCTTCCTTCTTTCTTTCTTTCGCACTCATTTACACAGCAACCAGGGAGCTCCTGGGATGAAAAGACAAGCCTTGTCTACAGGGCACGGACACAGACATGTCTGATGGATGGGGAGTGAGGGGAGCAGATAACACAGAGAGTGACAGGGCACTCACAGAGAACTCGCCTGAGTGGTCAAGCTGGACCCAGTCCCTGGCCCCGCCGTTCATATGGGAGTGTGGATACTTCGTCTCTTCCTGACCCAGCCCCTTGGTGGCATGTATGTGTTTGTGAGAAAGGGGTCTCTGCACGCCCATGAACTGAAGTATCTGTAACATGAGGCTGTTCAGAAATCCTTGCTGTGTGACATCCCTGACTGACTGAGAAGAAACACCCTCCTTGTTCACAAAATCAGAGTTGCTGGATGAATTGGCAGAGATCCCTGCTAAGGCGGGGTCCGCAGCTATGCTTGGGGTAGAAGCAAGGGACCAAGGGGATGGGTCATTGGAGCAGCGCCTTTCCTGGGCTTTGAAAGCTCCTGCATGGCCATCAGGGATGGGAGTCTTGGTGGAGGCCTCCCCACTCCAGTGCAAGGGAGCAGGTGGGCCCAGCTTGGCAAACCGAAGAGCGCTGTGGGACAGCTGTGTGGCTAGCTGGATAACATTTTAGGTGCCAACCTCGTGTTGCTTTCTGTGCTGTGAGCATTTCCCCTCTCACTTAACAGGAATGACATCCTGAGTTGCAGCTTTCCCAGTAGTGGCAAAATCTAGGGAGCCCTTCTGTTCACTAACTTTGGACTTCACTCCTGTGGTGATGGGCTTGGTGGTGGCAAGATAATAGCAATAGAATAGAGTCCAAGAGGTAATGCCTTGGGCCTGGGACTTTGGTGGTAGGAAGAGAGAGCAAGGCCAGGGTAGGTCTGTGCAAGCATGGGACTTCCCTGAAGTCTCAGGGATAGATGAGAGCACTGACTCCCTAAAACCCTGGACTTTAAGCTGGACATGGTGGCTCATGCCTATAATCCCAGTAATTTGAGCCTAGGCAGGAGGATCGCTTGAGCCCAGTAGTTTGAGATGAGCCTGGGCAACATAGGGAGACCCCCATCTCTACAAAAATTAAAATAAGATAAAATTAGCTGGGCATAGTGCTGCAAGCCTGTGGTCCCAGCTACTTGAGAGACTGAGGTGGGAAGATCACTTGGAGCCCAGAAGTTGAAAGATACTGTGAGCCATGATGGCACCACTACGCTCCGGCCTGAGCAACAGAGTGAGACCCTGTCTCAAAAAGAAAAAAGGAAAAAGGCCTGTTCTTTCCACCGCTACACAGCTGAGGGCTTGGGGCATCAAAATTTAGGCATTAAGGTTAACAGAATCACCATTTTAACTTCCGGCTGCAGAAGCCTGTGACATTCAGGTTGCACTTGTCCACAGAATCACCGCAGAGACGGGTGCCCACCCCTCCCCACGTGCAGCTGTCCATTGCAGCCGGCCTGACAGATGGCCAGTTTGCATCGTATTAATTGGCATTTGTTCCTTGGCTCCTGTGTGCCTACCTTATGCCCTTTACTCTTGTGCTTGCTACATCCCTGAAGGAAGTGGTGGTCTCTTCCCTTTTCCTGTGTTCACGCAGATGTGCCTCTGAACTCCAGGGACAATCGGGCCCGGGGGTTCACAGATGCACTGTTTTGCTCATCACCTCTCATGACCGGGGCTCAGATTGGGGCCTGTGATCTTGGATCCCAGGCTGCCTGAACACCCTGAGCAACGGAGGTAGGAAATGGGGTACTTGGCTCCTGTGTCCCCTCCCCTGGGAGATCTCCCTGACCCCCCTATTGAAACAGCCCCCCAACTGCCTTGCCTTCTTACCCTGGCTTAGTTTCCCTCATGGCACTTTTCATCCCATATTTTACGGTTTGTTTGTTTATTGTCTGTCTTTGCCATTTGAATTGAGCTCTACCAAGGCAGGGGTTTGTCAGTTTTGTCACTGCCAATTGTCCAGTGCCTAGAATAGTGCCTGGCACATAGCAGGCCCTCAGCAGATACTTGTGTTTGTTGAATAAATAAACGTCACCCTGCTGCTGCTAATGACGCCAATGGTGAAAAGTTCCTGGACCCTTCTCAGCACCCATAGCCAGAAACAAAGACATTCAGGCATTTGGCCTTCTCAGTCTCCAAAAAATTGATGCAAAGGTGTCCTGTGATTTGGAATTCACCTAGAAGGGGCCCTTCTCCTGTTCTTGCCTGGTTCTAACTCCCGGCAGGAGGGGCTTCTTAGGAGAAACGGTGAGCAGGGCCTGGGACTTCCAGAGCTCTTGTCAGTGTTCTGGAGAGGACAGGCTCAATGCCTCACTGGACCGGGCTGGTCTCAGCCTCGGTGTCCCTCTGCTGCCCCTCTCTCAATGGTGAGGCGTGCATTGCTTCTGACCCCAGGCCAAGAGAATTAGTATTCCTATCTCAATGCTCAGAGACTGTTTCAAGCTATGCTTGCTGGTAATGAGGCCCTGATCTTGCCCCCAGTTCTAAGAACTGGTCATGTGTCTTAGCACCTGTGCCCAAACCTTGTGCTTGGTGTGGCACATGTAGGTAAGGTGGTACCTGCCTCACTCCATAACTCTGTCTCCAGGATGCCTAGGGCCTGGATG